AGTAGCAAATTAATCTTTTAATGTTATTAATAACAGGTAAATTACATAGACAATGTAGGCGATGCTGGAAATGCAATAGCGCGGGTTCTTGATGCACCTGCTAACTTGCCTGTTTTAGTACAGGACTTACAATCGCAAAGCAATGCAATTGTTCCTCCGCCAGCGCATGTTTCCGATGTGTTGTTGGATTTATCGAAAAAGTCTACAATATCTTACAGCCAGACCGCACCACCTATTAATAATGTACCCATCGAAACAGACAATCAGGATCTAATGCCTCTGGACCTGTCTTTAAAATCGTCAAAACTGATTCAAAAGTCCGTTCACCACAACAATAACTTAACGTCTGTGGAAACTAATTTTAATAATAATTGTGCTGGAAAATTAAATGAAACGACGGAGGGTGTTTTCGGAGAGCACGATTATGTTTCCTTTAGAGCAGCTTTAGACATGCCTCTCATTGACCTTGAAGATAACATCAATGCCTTTATGCAATTAACCAACAATGAGACAATTACGACAGCTCCTGTAGCAGAAAATACTTCAACAGATTGTGGTGAGTTGCATAAGATTTACGTAATAATTCGTATTATACAAATTGAAAATTTTTCAGCATTACTAACTAAGGAAACAGCTAATAATCCACTACCGATTTGTAACTTTGAAATCGGTGAAATTCTTTCCGAGACTACTTTATGCAACAACAATTACAATCACAACTCCCAATATAACAGTAAAACCAATGATTTAAATTCGAATGTTGTAAAAAATGGCGAAAACGCCTTGGAACAAAGAAAAGCCAATGATATTACCAAAAATATTGAACAGTTAATGAATAAAACGGCCAACGCAGACGAACATACTAAAACTGTTGAGGTCGGTGTGTATGAAGGTTTAACTCAACGTAATTGCGATACCACTTGCAGTCAAGACAGTGATAGAGGGCAATGGTTAGAGGAACTATCTGTTGCCAAGGAAAACGCCGCCTCAAATACGGAAACAAAATTAGCAAATGTGACAGAAAATAGTGAAAATAAAGCAGAATATTCTTCCATCGTTGGTGGTATTGATCATACTGATGAATTACACGGAGATTCAGGTGATTTTCTATTCGTGGACACAGAAACACTTGTGGCAAACAAATCAAAATCCTCATTTGATGGACTGGTTAGTGCCACACAATTAGATACTCCCAGGGAATATTTTGCTGTAAATGAGGTCAGCCAAACAACTAACGCTAACGAACAAGATACAGCGAGCAATGAGGATGACGCTTGTGATTTATCAACAAAAGCTGATCAAAGTATTGATTTAGAAGAAGATAACCAGAGTCATAACGTTAGCGTACATTTAGAAATACCACAACTACCGCAATTGGAAAGCAATTCCGAAGAATTCACATACGATTATGAGACGGCTCTTGAAAGCATTGAAGATAAGGACACCGCCGTAAATACTGTGGCAGAAAGTACACAACAACCTATTGGAACACAACAATACACTGAAGAACATAATGCCAACGAATCGCAAAAAAGTGACGGTAAGTAAAAAAGCGGTATATTTTTGTTATTGGTGTTAATATGAATTTTTATACATATGTTCCTTTTTAGGTTTGAGTTGCAATGATTCCGGTATAGGAAATTCTGTAGTTGGCAATGTTTATGAAAGTGCAGAGGCAGTAGCAAAATCAACGCTAACGTTGCTTAACAACAACAATGACTCAACAGTTAGTAATTTCATAACAGAGGAAGCACCGACAAAGTCCACCGGAAATGTTGATACAAATATGAACATCGAAAATGATGAAGGAAAAGAGCAGACGGATGAATGCACCGAAGGTATGAGATGCCAACATTATGAAAATATGTCCTAAAATTTTCAGTATCTAACCATGTTTTTTTTTTATATATTGTAGAAGACGGCTTATGCTTGAAGAATTTTGCCAGCTGTTGTAAGCAGGAAGAGGCAAATACAGCCCAAGCGCAAATAACGGGTACAAGTACAAATTATAAGCATATATATATTTATTGTTTTTAATTTATGTTATATATGTGTATATGAAGAAATAGGTAATGAAATGCAAAATTGTCGCGAGAAGGATGCAGGCATTTCCTGTAAACCGGAGAGTGTAAACGCATATAGTGCTTTAGAAACTGGTAAGTTATCCCAGCAATAGCCGAAGACATTTTTAAGATCGGAAAATTATAGCATATAGCTGTCATACGAACTGATCGATCAAACTCAGTCCTTTTTACTATTATATAAATATTTTGAGAATATTTTTATTTTAAGCAAATTGTGTAATTTATTTTTTCATAAGAAACACAAGACCTAAAGCAAAGAAATCGTAAAGGCAATGAAAGTTTCAGCCAACCTGCGGAAGTATCTTTGGAGTGTCCACAAGATGGGTGTAATGAAAAAATCGAAACAGCATCGACACACCACAACGCCTTAGAAGCAGATCAAAAGCAAGCAATTGAAATAGTGTTAGATGATGTAAAAGCAAAACAGCCCGATACAAATCGCAACTTATCTGTACTGGAGATGGAGTTGAAAATGGATGATGACTGCTTGGATTTCGAAGATGAAATGGAAGACGATGCGCTATCTCTAGCAACATCATGTTTTAAGTATGAAACAATAATATATTTGTGGTTATGTTTTTTAAATACCAACTACTTCCTTTTCAAGTTCATCAGATGATGAGCGGTGTCCCGGTCTGGATTGTGCTCCAGTGGCAGACTTTAAGCCAATTAACACGAATGAGAACCACGAAAATATGCAGGTCGTGGATACGGAAAATGAAGAAATGGAGGACGATAAGAGCACAGTTATCAAGGTAGAAGTTTCAAAGTGCCCTACGCACGTGTCGAGTGATATTTTAAAAAAGTTCAAAATACCGAAGATCTCGATGACGAACGCAACGGCGAAACACGCTAGCCCAGCAGAGGGCGTAATCACAGCAGGCGCATTACCCATGGTCATAGTGCCGACGAATGCCTTTAATAAGCAACTAATTATAACCGAACGGGATTCCATCAAACCCGTAAACTTGGAGAAAATCACACGCACAGTACAAAATGTGTGCGCGGTAACGCCGTTAACACAACAGCAATCGTCATACCAGCCGCAAACTAGTGCCAGCACTAAAATTTCATTCGACACCATTAAACCGCTTATGAGCGACATATTGCAACTGCCGTCATCTAGTAACGAAGCGGATATGAAGAATTTGAAAACAATTAACGACCATACACAAATGTCATGTGTGAATGGTGATTTTGCCGGTAATAGAGGTGATGGTTGGAACTGCAGTCTGCACGCAATAGCCATCGCGAGGACCTTTGGTGTCACATGTTTGTCTTTCTTAGTGGACCGATGCTTTAAATTCGGCAACTGTGAATTTTCGCACACATTTTGCGAGTCAGAAACAGTCGGGAATATTTTGCTTACATTTTCAGAGGTGAACTTAAATATTGCATATAGGTTTGCCTATAATCATGAAAGCCTTTTTCGCCGTTACATGCACGAATTCTGTCGTGTCTACTCGGCGCGAAACAATCGCATAAAACTATTGCATATGGCGCGTGACTGTGTGCGCTACCATGATGGTAACAAGCTATTGATGACAATATTTCATAGTCTGGAATATTGCGGCCTAAACAAAATGGATGCATGCCGACAGATATTAATTTACAGTCATGATAGATCACAAGCAACCATAGACGTGTTGTTAGAAATTATATTCGAGGCCGATTGGACTATGTTTTGTGATCAGATCGAGAAATTCATTGATATTACTGCATACAAATTTCGTGTGAAGGTGTTGCATCAAATGGCGCCAACCATCTTGCAGGCCAACGATCAACGAATGACTTCGCTCTTCTTCAAATGTCTCATGAATTTAAATTCAAATGATGTCGGACTTGTTCAGACCTCACCCATACTCATGCAATTGCTAGAGCTGATAAAGAATGGACAAATATGCCGGTAAGTGTGTTTTGGTGCTGAATTCATTGCTAAGCCTATGTACTGGTGACACAGGCAAATGTGTGTAAGTCAAACTGAGCTTTAAATTATACTTTTTATACATACATTTATACATTTAAATATTATTCATAGACACTTTAAGACTTACCTCTCACAAGGGTATTACAATTCAAAGAATACAATTCTTATGTTACTTTTCCACTCGGGATTTATATTATTGCATTGGTGATAAAAAAAAAATCCTGAATAAAACATACTTTACGATAGAAAGATATTTATTTAAAGTATTACTTATTATATCGAACAGAATTTTTGTAATAAATTGAATAAAAACGAAAATGTATAATTAAACATACACGCTGTATATAATGTAATCATATGAAAAGCCAAGAAAAAAACATGGGAGACACTATAAAATGTTTATATAAATGATCAGCTTGACGAGATGTGTCTGTCTGTCGCGAACTAGCTCTCAGTTTTTAATGTATTGCTCTAAAATTTTGCACAGGTCCTTTTTACCCATGCCTTTAGTGGAAATGGGAGAATGGTTGGAGTTCTACTTATACTTACCGACAGCTTTCATGTTGTTGTTGTAACGGCAGAATTCTGCCGAGTTGACCGTCCTTTGCCGGGTAAAAATCCGGGTCCGTTCCGGTTTTCGTAGACCCGACTGTCGTGGGAACGGGACAGCTTTCATAATTTTTGAAGGCTTTCTTAAGAAACTTATTTGAATAAAAAATAGTACCGCTATAATACTTCGCTTCTCTCACAAACCATTAATCACCGCTGATAATTTTTACTTACTCACTGTAATGTGTTTTAGTATCGGTAAAACCCACGATTATTGCAAAGTATCGGTAAAAATGGTAAATTTTTATCAAAATTAATTGAGGCCAGTAATAAATGCTAGAACAATTAAATACCAGATTTACAGTTTCATAATGTAACCGTCAAGAAATCACCCAGCTGTAATGAAAAAAAGTTATTTTGTAACTGTAAACATATTACTGTTTACATTTTGTAAAGACATTTATTTTTTCTGAAACTTAAACAGTTACTGTTACTCTTCAACTATTTGGGCCACACAGAGTTTATGATCGTAAAATGAGCAAGTTGCTGTGTACAAATTTTTATCATCAGACACGTCAAGACACCAGTCCGCACCATAACATATGCTCTTATGCTCGTAATATTCGCCAAGCAACGTTGGTGCCTCCAACTGTCCACCTTTCAGCTGAACGATGCCGAAGTTATGATACATGCATGCGACCAAAATGAGATCACGCTCTAACGGATCGATTTTTAGACGCCATATGCCGCCGCCAAGATTCAGTTCTCCCAAGGGATGCTTCATGGTGCGCGTATCAAATGTACGCAAATGCTCATCATAACTGCCAGTCAGCAATAAATGCTCGTGTTTGGGATGACTGAGCATGCAAGTAACGCCAGCGTTATGCGATTTGTTGCTGAGAATACGCGTGCAAGTTCGTAGATCATAAGTGTGCAGAAGTATATCATCGCCACCACTGTAAATACGATTTAAGTCCCAACGATCAAAAGCACACGTCCATGCTTCGAAACCATGTGCAGCAAAAGTATTAGTGAGTTTGAGGCCATACTTTGGTGCATAGTCGATTAAACTCACGCCACCTTTGGAATCTGAAACCAATATTTGAAATTGATTTGATTGACTGGAATTCTCCGTACGTCGCCAATCCAGCGACAATGCCAACAAATCATCACAATCGGAATTTATATCCAAACTGCTGATTCTTTTCAATATATCTTCTTCAAACTCATATATTTCTAGTTGACCAAACGAATTCACAGTAGCAAGTGAGGGATTCGCGTTGGTTTCGTCGTTTAACCACTTCATATCTAGAATGGCAGCTGTCTCCAGGCGACAAACTTCCGTGAGCTTTTTGGTTGCAGTACAAAACCTATATAGATATATGCGACCCTTTCGCCTGGTACTCATAGTGCTTTCCTCTCCCACATTCTCTTCCAGCTGATATGTGCCGCAAGCGAAATAGGATTGATATTGCTGGTGTGGACACCATTCTATAGAGTCGGCGGAATACTCCGTATCGATTGAGTGTAAGGTGTTGAATTCCAGCTAAAATCAAATGTAAATATTTTTTTTTTTAATTATTTACTCACAGCTGTAGATATTTTAAGGAAATAAAAACTTTTAATATAAAAAAACTAACCTGAAAATTTTAACAGAAATCTGGACGATAACAAATTTTAGAAATAAACAACTTTTTACGCTGATGAAACCTGGCAGCGACCGTTATTGGACGTTTCCGATAATACAAGTGCATAGATATCAGTAACTCCGACTGCCGCAAAAGAACTGGCGTCTGATGAAATTATAACCGTTAGGCTTAGATTTAACACATGTATACATGTACTTTAGGTTCAACTGTATACTACCTGGGCACAGATGAACTTGATTTAAATAAGTACATCAATTTGTGTGTTTAATCTACTTTAAAAAAATTATTGACTTTATTCTTTACTTTTACTTTATCATGGTCATTATTATACTTATTACACAGTAATATTAATATTATGCTTACACGAGCTCTACATACATTGAGTGTTACTAGTGTATATAAATTTGCATATTTATTTCATTTAGTATGTAGTATATGATATACTGCACTAACATAAACTTACATATGAATATATATGTATGTATGCAATACCCTTCATGGGTATAGTTAATCAAATTGTTATCATTCCAATTGCTACTGCTACATTTTTCATTGAATTTCTAAAAAGAATTTTACTTGAATAACTGCTGCCGACATTTTATCGTGATTTCGGTGATATATTGTAGTATTTGTTACCACGTGTATATTTGTTATATGTTTTTATTAGTATTTTTTTTTTTTTATAGACGTGGGCTTCAATCGTCATTGTCATCGTCGTGTAAAAGTGAAGGTGTATTTATCATAAACTGTGTTTTATTGATATAGACTATTGTGTATTGTTTTTGATGCGTACTTGCTAGATTTGTTTATATATTAGTTAGCTTTATTTTGTTTTCATTACGATGATAGGTTCGAGAATCTTAAGCATATCATTATTCTCAGGCTGTGAATTGTATTCTTTGCACGGAGGTTTGCCGTATGCATTGTTAGAGGCTGACATTTGTTGTTGTTGATCTTGCTGTTGAGGCGCTTGCGAGTTGGCTAAAGCTAAGAAACGCTGCTGTTGTTGTTGCTGGAGTTGTGCGTTCACCATGTTGGAGGATTCATTTGAGTGCAACATCTGCTGTTGTAGTTGCTGTGATTGCTGTTGTTGTTGCTGAAGTAGATCTTGTTGCTGATCTTGTGGCTGTAATTTTGTGTTCCCGTTGGAGTCGTTACCGTCACTGGATATATCCACATCTTTTTTAAGTTCTTCATATAGTTCGCGTGCTCTGTCTTCGGTGCGACGACGTGAATGGGTCCGTAAACGGCGCATACGTGCATATTCGGCTTGTTTGGATAGGCGTACTTTCCGTTCATCTGGTGATTCGGTCGCTCGGATTTCAGCCCGTTTCAGTCGAGCTCTCTCGCATAGTTTAGCCAGACGTACTGCTCGTTGCTCCGGTGTTTCGTTCGCCCTCACTTCTCTTTGATGTGCTGCCATTTTGTCCAATCGTCTTCGTTTGTCTTCGTCTGTTTCATATTTATGCCCGCTGCCCCGGGTCGAGCCTGTGGGCGAGGAATGTTGTTGACCACGTCCGCGGCGCGGTGTCTGCTGTGGTGATGCGAGCATTTGGTTTATTTCTTGCTCAAGCAAGGCACTCACCTTTTGTTGCCGTAGTGCGTCCTCAGGCGATTCAGTGGTTCCTGTGGGCAGCAGATAAATGCCGTTTTTTGAGTCTCCCGTGTTGTTAGTAGTTGAGGCATTGCTGCCAGTACCTGTATTGGAAAAGATGACCTTTCTAGGGCGACCGCGGACCGGTTTTGGAAAATCCTGTATAGCTTGTTGTTGTGTAGCAGTTGAAGCAACAGCTGCGACCGCCGCAGCAGCAGTTATAGATGAATTTGCCAATAAATTATATGCTCCGCCAACACCAGCTTGGGCCACTTGTCCAGATGTAGGCGATGTTCCCGAATTGGTTGTATTATTGGTGAAATGCACAGGTGTAAATGGTGGCGGCACTGTATTCGGTGGAATAGTCAGTTGAAATCCATTGTGATACATAGGGTAGTAGGTGGCTTGAGTGGGCGTACTGGATGGTGAAGTCACTACGGTTGATCCCGAGTTGGCTGCAGCAGCTGGAAATGTAGCTAAATAAGGAAATTGGTTATATAGCGGAGTGGGAGGGTTTTGTATTTGAGGATGTGAACTTTTTAATTTCTGATTCTCACTGTTGGACGTGGATGCTACGATCACCTTTGTATCGTTCTGCAAATTGGAGCCACCAACAGACCCGCTGTTATTCGTTGGATTGTTTGTCTGCAATTGAAAATTGTTATAGCTACCCACATCCTTTTCAAATGTTGAATATTTATTTGCCTGCCACATACCGCCCGAGGGTCGCAAGACAAAAATAGAAATATTTATAAAAATTTACAATTTTGACAAATCAAAAAAAAAAAAATTTAACTAATGTAAGCGTACCAAAAACCGACTACCAGATAAAGACGTTTATTTACACAATAGGTATGTATCTAGCATTGGAATAATAATGTTGCCACATCTAAAATTTGTCAAACATATTAAGAGTTACCAGTAATCAGTGTGTTCATGATAACAATCATGTTTCGAGTAAAAATTTCATATTGTAAAAAATATATGTAAATTGAACAATGAAATAATAAAATATCAGATCGCCATCTACTGTTTTAGCGTAACTATTTTCAAATCAGAAAAAGTATACACAAATAGATTATAATTAAGTAGTAGAAAGTATTATTTTTTTTTTGGTTTATTTAAGCTAGAAACAGAACATACAAACAAAAGGTGTGGTTAAAACTATTTCAGACCGATCCCAACAAAACACGACACATTCACACACGGTTTCCTTGTGCCCTGTTTAGAAGCAATACTTTACTAATTCAGAATTTTAATATTTTATACACGTCAACTCGCTGTTGGCTCCAATTAAAGTACTAAGCTGCGAATAAAAACAAATATAAATCATAAATATTTATATACGTAAAAATAGTATCCTTTTTTTAATACCACATGTCCTTTATTTTTTAAGTCAAACCGTGTTCTCTACAGTATGAATATCGGAAATTTAATCAGCAAAACAGTATATTATCAACACCATAATTAGTAAGATTATTAGGTCCCAAATTTAAAAGTACACACAGTTGGTAGCTTCATTGGCCAAACACATTAATTCCGTCAACATATTTACTTTGGTCCAATAACTGATAATATGTTGGAAAATATTTACGTAGTTAAGACGGTTTTCCGAAATTATGATATTTATGATTTACCATATAGATTTTGTAAAATAGCAATCTTCTAACACCTGCATAATGATAAAACAGTCCGGCAACCTTGTTAACGTACAAAAAGAAAAAGCATCATTTTCACTAAAACCGGATTCATTTTCTCCATTTTGCGTATACCAACATTCGTTCGCAATCACGTTTAAATAAGGAGTTGCCAACACTTGTCGTTGAATAAAAATGGCTCCAAGTTTTCATATAATTTTTTTTTTTTTGCAGATCTAATAATTTTTAGCAAATTCATTAACAGTTAAATCCATTTTTTGCTAATAACATACCAACCCAGACTTTGGCCAAACAATTCTTTTTTCCGTTCGCATTTGCATTTGCCATAGCATGCATCGATGTTGTACAATGTTCATATATGTACGTATGTATGTATATCAATTTGGTAGATACATATGTATACGTGATCACATTTTACATACATTAACTCATGTATTTATATTGCGCCCAATCCCATTGTTTATCATATTTTTCGTTTAAACTAAATTTGTTAAAAAACTCACGGGTTAATTTTGTTTTATTTATTTAAAAGAGACAATTTTACTGAACGAATCTTAATTTTTAGAATCTTTACACGCTTAATTTTGGAAAAGAGACACTATGATTAAGGTTAAGTTATTTTAATATTAAGTTTTTAGTTGAACAATGGGGCAGACAAGTAGATATTCATGTACATTTGATTATTTTCGCACCTATTTAGTATCGTTTATACTTACCTGTAGTTCCTGCTTCTTCATATATTTGTTTTGATAGAATTCAAGGGAACTGGCAATTGTGCTGAACTGTGGTACATGTGCTTGTGGCAACTTAGAAGACGTTGTTGCAGTGCCGTTACCAGATGCGGTTGCTGGTTTCTGGTCATTATCGTACAGTTGTTGAGGGAACATGCTATTTGATTCTGAATCTAGTATTGTTTGTTGTTGCTGTTGTTGGTGTGTAAAACGTCCTTGCTGCATTGATTGTTGTTGCTGTGGCTGCTGCGGTGTTAATTGCTCCTGTTTAAGTAAAGCAGGTCTCAATGTTGCCGGACTCATGAACATATTCTGATAGTACTCTATGGGATTGGTTAACGCCGTCTGCTGTGGTTGATAAGATGCTAGTTGTTCGTCATTGGATTGCTGGGGCTGTTGTTGGTCTATGGTGTTGTTGGTTGCGACCGTTGATTGCGGGGCTGCCTGGTTCAAATTGATATTTTCATTAGTGGAACTGGCAGCAGTACTTTGCAATTGGCTCGAATTCTGCGAATTCTCACTTTGCTCCTGCTTGGATTTTTTCTTAGTTTCTCTGACCTTTTTTGCGTAATCATTTAACTTCCTCAGTCTCTCCTTGCGTTGCTCTGGAGTCTCGTTTGCAATGCGTTGACGTGCTCGTGCTGCCATTTCTGCCAAACGTACTTTTCGCTGATCCTGTGTCTCATTAGCCCGATAAAGTCGCATGCGTTCAGCAAGCTTCTGAAGTCGTTTTGACCGCTGATCCGGCGTTTCCATTGCCCGACGTAGCCTTTGCCTAGCTGCATTGCGCACCAGGCGCATGGCTCGTTCCATATCCGACTCATTTTGGCGCCGAAGACGATTTGCTTCAGCATTCCGGGCGAGACGCTTCCGGTACTCTTCTTCACTTTCGCGATTACGCCTTTCACGCATCCTTTCAGCATTGCGTGCCAAACGACGGGCGCGGGCTTCAGGACTTTCGTTCCAGCGTTGTGCTGCTGTACGTGAGGAAGTTGACGATGTAACTGATGTAGGACCGTGAGTTGTGGTAACACCTCCAGGCACCGGCGTTGTTGCGGGCTGTTGCTTAAGCGAAAGTGGTTGTGGATAACCTGGTAATGTACTTAACTGTAGTTGCTGCTGTTGTATTTGCTGGTCATGCTGTTGAAAATGATGCTGCTGCTGATGTTGCTGATGTAATTGATGCTGTTGTTGTTGTTGTTGCTGCTGCTGCTGCTGTTGTTGATGTTGCTGCTGCTGCTGTTGCTGCTGATGTGACAATGGCACCAGCAACGTTGAGGGGTGCTCAATAAGAAGCCGTGCATTGTGTCCATTCAATGCGAGTAGATGTGTAGCGTACTGTGAATGCTGCTGCTGTTCAAGTGTAGGCTCTATTTTTATCCCATTGGGATTTGATTCCATTATTTCGAAAACGTCACTCTCAGGAACTGGGAACGTCTGTATAAATCTTCACCTTGCTCTTCCACATTTATTTGCTTTCGGTCCTCACCTCCGCACCTTCATGCCCACCACTCACTTTTTGTTTTTATTCTTTTATAGCTTTTGCGTATTTGCAATTGTTGCAAATATTTACTAAGTTTTTCTTACTGATGTCATTTATTGGCGGCGATTGTCAAACTTTGACATTTTGCACTAAAAGTTTCAAGCAAACAATTCACAGCGTTATATTCCATACATTGGAACGATGTTGTTTCACACACATTTCCAGTCTAACTTTCCAATCGATTTTTCACATGATTTTCTATGAGACTCTTCACATATTTCAGCTCGGACCCTCCAATGCACTTACGACATAATCGTATTTTCATTCACTAAACTATTTCTTTTTGCAATTTTTTTAATTTTTACTTATATTTAAGGATTTATTTTAATAACTCAAACTTTTATCTTTTCACCAACTTTTAAGTATAATTATTGCGCTAACTTGTATACTTGTCTATATTAAGTCACTTTTCACAAATTTCAACACTTCCGTTTTATAGAAACGGTTACTTTAGGTTATTTACCAGCAATACAATTTTTTACTTTAATTTTTTATTTAACCAAAAAATTTCCGTAGGCGGTGAGGCCAAAACCAGCAACGGCTTGCGAAAAAAATGTAAATACACGAAATAGCATTGGAACGAGCCGCTTTGTGGAAAATGGAAGAACACCAAGAAAAATTTTTTAGTTATTTTATTAATTTTTAAAAGTATAATTCTTAGCATTTGCCGTTAATAAAACATAATTACGTAGGATTTTTTTTATAATTATATAGCATTTAAAAAGCTTAAAGTACATAAATAAAATGGATGCAAATTTGTGGAGGTAGTAAAATATTTTAAAATCAAATCCAGTATTTCCACAACTATACCGTTTTTAGTTCAATTTCATTTTATTTTGCTAATATATTTTAGTTTTTCTAGTTATAGTTCAGGAATCATTATAAGCATGTAATATATAAAATGATCTACATGATCATCGTAAAATGTATTGTACCCAATACTTTTGTTTTAGGGTTTAGAATAACAATTTCTGACCGTTCTACATTGGAAGTATTTAAGCATATACATACATATATTCCAATGGATAGATACACATCGACACACGAACACCCTCGACCGGGAACTCGTTCAAGCGTTTGGAAGGGCAGTGTTACCACACGATTTTGCAAATGGACGCTTGCTTCGTGTGTAGGGAATTACTGAGGGTTTTATTCAAAGTGAAGTTAACGTCACATATTCACTGGAATTATGAATGCGAACATATAGATACCAACACGTCAGTATGTACACATATGTGTATCTACATGTATGGCACGCATATGTGGATATTACTAGATACATACATATGTGGTTTTTTGTGTACCCACGAGCTGTAGCGCTTTCTTAAATATGTTCGACGTAATCAACCAATCCGCTTTCATATGTGAGATACATGCGCACACCCAACATGCACCTACATATACTTTTGTATGTATATAGTATGTGCAAAATTTTTTCAATTTTCCGATAATATAATTTCGAATTTTCTAAGCCAAATTTTTAAAAGCTTAACCGTTTTATATTTTATTTCATTACATATGTATGTTTGTATGGACGAATGTACGTATGTATATATTCGATATCCCTGGAGGATCAGCGAATTTTCTTAAACTGTTTTGTACACACATGCTCATATCTACATACATATGTATGTAGTATATGTATGTACAATTTTATATTTAATAATCTGAACTACCAGCTTATTTTGTAATAAAATTGGACTAAAGGAAGTTATCCAAGACACCTGGCATCTCCATTGCCTAGTAAACATTTTAGACAAACAAGATATTTGCATATTTGGGCAAACAAGCCTACAATTCTAAGATGAATGCATAAATACATATGTATGTAAATAATGTATGTATTTAGATTTTCAAATGTGCATGACTAAAATTGCCTTTTGAAAAGGAGGTAACAGATTAGACATTATAGTTTTAGATATTTTGCATTAAATAGTTGAACTTTTATGTTAAGGAAATTCAATAGAATTATCTATATCTAGAACAGTCACATGACTACATCCAATCAAAGGATTTATAGTCATTGAGATGATCGCGTTTTCTGCTGCAAATCATTATAAGGAAATTTGTCATCCAAATGTACACATGTATTGTGATCCCTTGCTGGTTGCTCAAGCATATTTCTTCAAAGAGATCCAACCCTAAATTACTTTAAAAATGTGATTGATGCAACTTTATTCCAGTATAGTGTACATATTACATAATTTAATAATAATCTTTAATTACATCAAAAAATGGAGATTAAACTTGAATTTTGACTAGAACTTAATTAAGAATGAAAAAGAGACATAGGGTTTAACTTGACTATATGTATATTGCATTTTTAATATTAAAATATCTCGTTACAGAATTTAATTTTTGTTGGATTAAAACTATGTGTGAATTACAGAAGTGTCAAGAGCATCAGCACAAATGGGTTATTAATTAAGGAGCTGTTTTAGCGGGCTTAGAATAATCTTTTTGGAGATTTAGATATAACGCTATAGGTGCTACATTGTAGTTATAATAATGCGTCCATTTGTGGTTATGTGGTTTTGGAACTAATTGGTGTGTGTATATATGTATGTGTGTTTGTTTGTTTGCTTGTTGTGTGACCGACTACATTTACATATGTACGCTTCTACAATTTTTTGTTATATTATTATTATTATTACATTTTATTTTATATTAATGTAATGCATGCATTATAAAAATACTTTATTTCATAAACTTAATTAAATATACGGTTGAGGGGCATATGTTAGTTGACCTTAATTTGCAATTTGCCTCCTTCACCCTTTGATGATACGATCGCGCAATGAAAGCCAAGTTTCCTGAGCTTATACCAATGCGTGTGCGACCAAATCCTTTCATCTGTTCAAAACATTCTTGTTCGCATTATATTTGTTTTGTTTTTTTCCTACTATCCAGCTGAGTTTTTGTGTTGCTACTTCTTTATTAACGGTTATTGTTGTGTTTGTTGCGTCATTAATAATGGTTCATGGTGCATAACATCAATACCATACGTCTTCTTTTTTTCTTTTTGTCCATTATGAGATAGATTTGATGCTGCCTGTTGACGTACAAGTATTTATATATGCATATTTAGTAACCCTTAAGGCGATCCTCCAGTGGAGGCTTATACACTTTCGGCGCATTTGCTCGCGCAACTCGCATACGTTCGGCGGCCTTGGCCAAACGTTTTTTGCGTTCCTCCGGCGTCTCACCAGCGCGCCGCAGTCGCTGTCTGGCGGCATTTTTCATCAGTCTTAGGGTTCTTTGTACTTCATTTTCATTCTGACGTCGTACACGGTTCGCTTCCGCATTTTTCGCCAGCCGGACCCGATATTCTTCCTCACTTTCTTTGGCTCGCTTTTCCCGCATTCGGGCGGCGTTACGTGCTAGTCGTCTCTGACGGGCCTCCACAGATTCGTTGCTACGTCGACGGGCTGCTTTTTGCGCTCGAGTCGATGGCGGTGTGCTGAGGTGTAGATGTAAAGGATGCTGTTGACTTTGCTGTGTTTGGTTTTGACTCGTCGATGTGGGTGTTTGCTGCTGTTGTTGTGATGACGAAGATGACGATTGTTGTGATTGAGGTTGCTGGAAATTATTTTCTAAATTAAGGGCGGCGACAGCTGCAACTGCGTTTGTCGATGTACTACCGCTACCACTGGCCGCTGCTACTGCCGCGCTTGTATAGTTGTTGTAGTCGATTAAGCCCCTGTTACTAGGGTAGAGGTGGTGCATGGGATTTTCATAATTGAGGTATTCCGGCTTGATAAAAAATGGATCGCGCGCGGAAAGCGGTGTTGATGGCGAATTGAGGAAATATAATCGGCTGTGGTCAGTAGTGATGCTGCTTCCTCCGCCTCCCACTCCAGTGGACATCTGGGGTTGCTTCACGACTGTCTTACCAATCGTGCAGTTCGTCGTCAGCTTGGAAAATATAGAAAAGCCGCGTATGATACACTGTTCTCGAACGTTTTCACGTGTTTTTTTTAATTATATATTTTCTAATTTCAACACAATTTTAGGAAAATTAATGGGTAAACAACAAAAGCGACATAACTAATCAATATGGAAAAAAACTTCCACTGTTGGCTGGAAGTTCACGATGGAAATTAATGCGCAAACGTCGCTCACTTCCAGCGTCGGTGGCATTTGCAAATGTTACCACATTCACGAATGATATTCCAACAGAATGGCGTTGCCACATTTTATATCTAACGAGCCATGCTCATTTTAATGGATACATACAACCTTATTTATCAATTTTTAAACTTTGTCGTTTGGAAAGTGAAAAAATGGGTAAATTGAATATTTTTAAATCGAACGTAACTTATACTCTTTCTTAGACTTGTAGTTCACACAGCTTAAATAGTCGATGAACTGAAAATTTTATAAAGTTTGATGCTAGAACAATTGTCAGCGGTTGGTTAACTCCATTCCACTGTCACTTGTCAATACTTTAGTCAAGTTTGGCAACTTTGGTGATTATTTTGGAAGGCAGCTCATCAACTTTATGGGAACACACAATTTAAAACTAAATTGATGCTGTTTCCTTTATAATTTCCACCTTACCTTACTCATTTTGTTTCAAGTTTTTCCAGTAAATGCGGCAATATATTTATTACTTCAGCTACTGACAGGTCCGCATGCAGTTGTTTTCTTTAAAGTAGAAAAACACAAACAAGCACTGAACACACCACTGAGATTTTAGCTAGACATGTGGTTTAACCCGTTTATGGCTAATTGAACCTTTTGTGCTGAATTGTGCAGTGCAGGGTGAAATATGGAAAATCAGAATATCGTTGAGTAGCAGACATGGCAACACTGTTATACTGATAAGAGTTTAGAAATCAATTGAACACACTATAAAGCTCTCCAGGAAATCGTATTGCATTTTGTAGAGCATTAAAATCACTCACGTTTATGTTCAGTCAGTGCTAGAGTGAATGGAATTGAAAATGCATTAAATTTCGCTGTGTTCTGCTCATCGAGTGTTTATTGTTTACTACTATTCCCCTATGCAGTTTCATAACTCGTAATTTGACAAATTCACTGAAACAACAGCTTAATGAATATTTGTAGCAGTGTTACATTATTAAAAGTGCTATAAATCACAGTAGCAAGTAAGTTTGAATTGTTTAAAAGACCTGCTTAAAGTGCGATAAAACAACCAAACGATAGTACCTAAAGTTACTAATTGTGTTTATTCAATGAAAGCGTTTGAATGTTGTGACGTTTTAACGTGCATACCTATAGATTCAATATTTCGCAAGAATTTACTCTTTGTATATAAATCTATATAGAACATACGTACGTTTTTATAATTACAATATTTGCACTTGTTGTGTTTTTGTTGTTATTTTGTTTTAAAGCAATCGGGAAAAATATATTGATTAATAGTGTACATCTACATAAACATATTTGCGTAATTATATTCTGAGAGATTTACATATATCAGTACATACTTACATACATATACACCTATTTGCATAAATTTCTAAACGCTTTCCATTTTGTAAGTTAATAAAATTAGCATAATCGTTACATTACAAAAAAAGTTTTATTTGACAATACTTCTATGGCTTCCAGAATATAAATAAACGTTCTTACGGTTGTTCTATTATTCTATTATTCAAATATTGGTATATACATACATACGTGCATATGCGTAATTCGTGTAATATTAATACAATTTGTGGTTTTTTGATAAATGTACATATATAAATGTTCACATTAGACGAATATTACAAACATTTCTTCTAATCGATTTTGTATTTTTATCCCTCAAATTAAAATATTTTTCAACTTATAAATATTGGTATATCTAAAATAAATCAAAAATCTTTGCCTCATTATATTTAATTGTTGCTGTAAAGCTTGTCATTATATTGTGATTCCCTAATATTCAAATAAAATTTAAATTAGGTTTTAACAAATTAAAGCATTTGGAGTAATATGGGTTGATATACATATGTACCTATTTTAGATCCCGGAATTGTAGAGCGTTTTGATAATCACATATTGTTTAGCATTTACGAATGCATTCCACAAGATCCACCGGATATAAAGAAGTGGATTTTTTTTTTAAATGGCTTCTGACATTGAGTTCTTGAATAGGTCCGATATTTCATCAGGCACAATATGAAGAATATATATATATCCTTAACCGAGGATTTCGAGCTTGTAAGCTCTAAATCTCAAAAGTCACCTTTCGACGTTACAACAGAATCGTTTGTAACGTATTACAGATGCGATAAAGAGTATCATTTACTCTAAAGGGAATAAATATTATCAGCGACTAGTGATTTAAAAACGATTTATTACTTTAACACATTTAAATGTATTGGTTCAAAAAAAAAATATATATTTTTTTCAACAAAAAACTAGGCAAACATATTACATACATACATATGTGTATTGCAACTCTGCTTATAATTAAACTTTTTCTTTATATAATAAATCTGCTTTTACTGGTATGTGTAATACATGGAACGCACGTATAATTTTTTTCTTTAAATAGAAATCAATATAATACCTTTGATGACCTCATTTATCATTAAATAGAGTCTACAAGTACTTCTGGATTAATTCCTAACATCTAGAAAATCAGAACTATGAAATAATAACTATTGTGGAAGCTGAGTTTATTGTGTAGAAATATATGTTAATTAAATATTTGTGCTTTGTTACAGTGCTAAATGTATGTATCTACAAACATAACTAAATTTGTTTTTAAAATCTGATATACCCAGCTATGCATAAATATGTAAGTGGAAAATAATACACAAACGAGTATTTATTGTATATGCATACTTTCATATACGGTCGTGTATATGACTATGAAATGATTTCAATGAACTCGTTAATAAGTAACTACTTGGTTTCGTTTATTTGCTTCTCAACTACAATTCCATCTAAAGAAATATGGAGAAGGAAATAAGTAATAAAACGAAAAATCGCACATTTCATAGACTGTTGTGTAGTCAGCAATGTATACGTACATATACAAGTACGCTACACAATCGAATTCACAGTCGCAGCAGTAATCTTCATAAATTACTTTCAACGATTTTATGTAATTTACGAATGCTACAAAAATAAACAATTCCACAATTTTTTATCTAAAGCATGCAAACAGAAACTTTGACTTCGGCATCGACAGCGACAGCGACGACTTCGTCGAAGCTCGCTACATACAATGTACAATGTATTTATGTACATACATATGTATATTAAATAAAACCCTCTTTGCGAAGAATTAAACATCTTCAAAAATCAAAGCAATTGACGTAGTGCATTTCAGAATACTTATTTCCAACCATGAAAAGGTTTAATAAGAAAACGAAAAAATTGTATGTAAAGGCATGTACATATTTAGAAAACAGGTGATGTAAGATATTACAGAAATAATGCATTAAATAACAATTGAATTAATATTTTTTTTTTTGTTTTTTGTAATACTGAAAATGTTAGTAAAAAATAATATTCAAATTTAAAATCCCAAATCCCGGATTGAAAATAAATAAATACTATTAATTTTTCAATTCTCTAGAGCAGTGGTCGGCAAACTTACTTTCAATATTAAATTAATAAATTTTCTGCTTTGTTAATTTAAAATAAAATTAAATTTTTAATCCCAACATTTTAAATTAAACATTAATTTTTTTAAATAAAATATTCGAAACCTTGAATATAAAATTTAAAAAATGCATCTAAAACTATTGAAATTTAAATCAATTCAGAATTGTGACAATGCCAAAACTAATTCAAAACATCTCATATATGATATTAGTATTGGATCGACCAAAATGGTACATACGCATGTATTTGTTTATTTATTTATTATTATAAATATAAGGAAAAATTAGTTGAAGTTTGATTAGAAATACGAAAAGACTTTTTCGACTACTTGATGTGATTTTTTCATGTGGCTTGCAGTGGAAACATAACGGAACGTTATGCGTTTATACCAAATTTAGTAAATATTGACTCAAAATAAAACCCATAAGGGTGCTTCAGATTCGACAATATTTTAATGCCATCATGCGATTAGCAGTGTTATCTAGTTATCTCTAGTATTGTAAATGACAATATCTAACTTTCATTAATCTCAACGGTCGATATGTGACGAGTTGATAACCTCCCACTTTGGAGTCATTTAAAAACAGGCTCAGAAGAAAATACACAAGAAATAACGCACATCTTACGCACACCAGTGTGCACTTGTGAAAAATAATTTTACATACATATGTATGTGGAAAAATGAGTACAAACGAACCTGAAACGAAACGAAATTTGAAAAGAAAATATTTGTATTTTATAAATTGTCTTTGTTGTTTGAATATACTTTTTTATTGCCTACATACATACATACATACATATTAATACGCATTTTAAAGTAGAAGTAGCTACCAAACGACTAGTTGAGTATGCAGGCTAACCAAGGCAACAAAGACGAGCTTAAGGCGACGATGCTTCGTTAGAAGCTGATGGCGTGTGAAAGAAGATCCAGTCAAAAGGCCGGGATAGGCTGAAGCTGAGATAGACGGCAGGCAGTAAAGCAAATAAGTGAGCAAATACTTTGGTGAAAATTCCTCAACTCGATGTTATTCGTATTTGTGTTGTACGCGTTCGTTTGCGCCGAGCTATCGCTTAGACGCTTTTGTATGCGATTGTTATTAGTTGAAGAAATCTAAGTTAAGACAATATAATGTCTTTGGCCCGGCTATGTTACCTGCAATAACTCGTATTGAATTTGTATGAGTAGATTAATTTGGTTCAATGCGGTTCGTTTACATTCGTTGCTCTTCGCCGCTTGTTGGTTTGGTTATGTGACGCTTCCAGGCCATGGAATCGAGCAACAAAGTGGTTAGTTAGATTCGTCCACTTGGGATAACGAGTAACTCTGGTTTAATTTAAAATGCACATTTCTATATGAATTCACCTAGGTCAAGGCAGAGATGCCATTATTATATAATTTGTTTGTGCATGGACTTTTTTCATTGGAATGTTTTTAAAAATGAATAATCATAAGGGTTTAAATTGAAATAATAGAATATGTTACTATTATCTACCTAATAACATGCTGTTGTTTTTAAAGTTATTTTAATTTTCAAAATAATCAACACGCTTTGTCTGATAAGCAGGCTGACAAACAAACTGATTTACTCCACAACTTCAGCTGAATTGACTTTGTTGATATCATAAAAACTACTTTGCGCACAAAATCTAAATTGAAATGTAAAAATTCATATTCATACATAATAAATATCTATGTTTGTACCTGCCTAGATACATGTCTGTGTGTATGTATATATGTATAACACTTGCATTATAGCACTTCAAAAATATACATACATACGTTTTTTATAAAACATTATCGTAAATATTTTCTAATCAGTCAATATTTATTGATATTTCGGAACATGTGACTCACAAATTTGTAGATATAAAAATTATATTTCACTATGTATGTGGTCATACATTCGGTTTACCTCAGTATACACGGTTATTCGTAACTACAAGTATAAGCTGTCTTGTTAGACAAAATATCGGTCATTAAATTTTGCTTGCTTACTCAATTGAAATTGAAAATTGATAGTATCAATATAAATTTCAAATACCTACATATACATATATGTACTATGTGCATATGAATAACTATGTTTGTGTTTGTATACATATATATGTAAATACCATTTGTGGCCACATACATATATATATAATATATGCCTCGCAAGTCATTTTTATAAGTACGTGAATACATTTATTATTTATTTGCATATGTATGTGTATAGTTAAAATATGTTTACCTGCAAAAATAGTTTAGATTGTGTGTAGAAATATGTATTCAACTAAAATTTATGGTTAACAATAATCTTGCAAAGTTAAAATAAAAATAATTACTCAACTCATGTTGCCCCATCACAAACAATATTTATTTAGTTCGATATTCAATAAACGATAGACCAATATTTAAAGCGTATATTTACATAACAAAGCTCCTTTTCATATAATATTACCACTATGTTGTGTAGTTTTGAATTTTTTCATACAAAATTATGTTAAATCAACTTTATTGGAACTTTTGTATAGATATGTTTCTATATGTATATACATATGTTCATATATTTCAAATTTTTCTAGACTTCTACTTTTGTTAACAATTAAAATAATATTTCGGGGAGGCTTATCAAGAACTGATAAAACACTTTTATAAAGGCACACTTCCTTAAATTTTAGAAATATTGCTGGAAATATGTATGTGCGTATGTGCATCATAGACCACCTGTAAAACTCTTTTAAATACAGAAATATTTTAAATAATGTTTTCGCTCATCCGCATGTTTGAAAATCATTAAATAACAACTTCATCTAAATTTGATGAGCTACCTATGCCATAATCAATACGTAGCAGCCCGTAAAGTTAAATTCTTCTCCACTCCGTCGTCTTCCACTAACACCAGCTCGTAGCGAATTGGAAACTTTCAATATTAACCAAAAGAAGTCATAACTTTTTAATTTTATGCCAGAGAATAACAATAACCTACAGCTTGCCCATACACCTCATCAATTTATTGTTCATTGTTTGACCTTTTTTTTTGTGTCTACCTAAAAATAATACACGTTCTCTGCCTAAACAGTAATCTGATTATCCCAAATTACCATTTTAATTAAGTTTACAAGTTGGCAACAATACGTTGTCTAAGGTTAATACACTACGTTGGATTTTAGCTGAATTTTAGCTCGCTGCTCCAGAACGACGACCAAGCCGAAACGCAACCATTTATTTCGACATCTAAGTAATTTTAGTTAGTTTCATTTGCCGAGGCGAATGTACGACGTTTATTTTGGACGGGCAAACGGAACGGCATGAATTTCTAAAGAATTCAAAGCGGAAGAAGGAAAATGTCTCATGGCATTACAATTAAAGCAACCACACAGAGAGAGAGAGAGAGAGAGTTAAGATTAGCGCTCAAACGCCTAAAAGAGAGTTAATGAGTGCGGTGTTTATTTAATAATAATAAAGACTACCTCTTCATGTGCTGGCATGTGGAGTCAACATATGTATGTATATGGAGCACAGATGCGCTCAGTGTTACAAGCACACATAAATACAACGTGGTACATTCGGTGAGACCGGCAGGTGAGCGCTCGAGTACGTGTATGGCGGCATGAGAGAGACATAGAGAGAGCCAGTAAATGCGGCTAGCGTCTTGCTGTAATTTCAATTCATTTTCCAATTTATTATGATTTTAGTTTTTCGCATTCCGATTTAATATACTTTTGTACATGCGGATATTACAATTTTCAATGTGTAAGCGCGTGTGTGTGTGTGTGCTGTAATATTTGTTTATGCTCAAATAAAATAAAACTAAATTTAAACATAACATACGTATGTAATATATGTATATACATATGTACATATATAACCTTCATTTATATTTAGTCTTGCCAACGAATCTTGTATTTCACTTCGTTCTTAGAAAAACTTTCCATAAAAATAGTTCCGGGTAAAAGTTTTAGCAGTTATATACATATTTTGCTGCACACTATTTATAATAATTTTTTATTCTAAACCATTTTATGTTACTAAAGTTGGCGCAGCTATACTGGCCCCTTAGGTCAAGATCCCGCCTCAGTCTGAGTTGATAATTATAAAGTGAAACTTAGGCTGATCTGGACTTATGACATTCAGATCTTGTGCATTGCAGTGAATTTACAATTAAAAGTAATTCAAGCTTTCCAAAATAATGTTCTGCGCACCATAGTGGGAGCATCTTTCTATGTGAGAAACGATGCCTTCCAACGGGATCCAAAATTGTTAGCCTTAAAGGAAACAATCGAAGAATTTGGCAGGAAAATATTATAAAACATTTTGTGTGAACATTTTGAGAAAATATTATACATACATACATATGTATGCAAGCGCTTAATCCTACTTTCCACAAACTTGTTATGACTCACAGCTGGGATGGCCTTCAGTGACCTCGAATTTTATTTTTTCGCCTTCGATTCATTTTTGAAGCGCCATTCGATGGAGTGGTGAACGGTTTCAACGACATATTAAGCGGTTAAACGGTTTTTCTTGAGTAAAAAAAAGCCTTTTTTCAACAATTTTTTTCTCTTGTAAAAATTAAATATTTTTTTTAGAATTTTTTATTGTTGCAAACATACGCTATTAACAAAGGAATTCAGAAACTTTTGGAAAGCAATATTTTAAGCTCGGCCATTGCAACGCCATTTCCAGTGACCCATGGGAAAAAGAAACATTCGCGTTGACAGGATAACTCCTTACAGGATCATCTAAAGTGGAAAAATACGGTTTTAATTAGAACCTTAACTCAGAACTTGGATGAAGAAAAGAATAGTTGTAGTCGAAAAAAAATCCATCATCCAAGTCTTTAAGAATTTAAGTATTTCAAAGACCTGAGTAAAGTTTCATGAAGATCGGATGAGTAGTTCTCTAGAAATCTTGCCAAATGACTTCAAAAACACAGTTTCCCCGAAACTATTAGTCGGATCAACTTGAAAATAAATAAATCGAGTTCTTTAAACCTGTAAACTTTGCAATCGGCATCGTTTTTACACTATATTCAGGTCTTTTGATACGAGTTTAGTATTGATACCTTTCATACCCAAACATTAACCAAAATTTCCATAGTCAACTTTGCCAGTCAAATTGTTCGCGTGGTAAACGAACAGCTGCCATACGCGAATATAAAAGTTGTACTAATCTTGGAAAAATTTTACCGAGAGTAAGGCAAAATGTATAAATACCGTAAAAACTTTGTATTTTGGTTAACTTAAGTCATCACAAAGAATTGTAATTTATTTTTAAAACATAGTCTCTAATTAACAAATTTCTTTTAATATTTTCGAAATTGCCTTATTAAATTTTTTAAAATCTTTGATTAATCAGTGAGTACAATGACTCCTAAATGCCTAGTTATCTAAATACCTGAAACTCTTCGCTGAATATGTTCGTATGATTCCGATAAAGAAATCTAGCTAATAAAGGAAAGTCGTATTGGTACACACCATAAATACATTCATACATGCAGCCATAAGTGTTTGATTCTAAGCGTAAGTTGCCTGAGATCCGTTTGCCTATAGAAAATCTTGTTTTATATATTCTTTTTTTTCTTGTATTAATAAGCTATTAGTGCTCGTAATACACAGAAATCAAAGTGAATGCCCTTAGTAGATATGCTTACATATATATGTATGTATGTATGTACATATGTACGTATTTATGCACAAATGTTTCAGTTCAAATTGATGTTTTCTCACAGCACCAATTTTTCAGTCTCTTGACTTATTCGCAAACCGCACACAAACACGCACACACATCGGTAAACATACACTTTTATGCACATATAATAATTCGCCTTATACATGTGTATGGATGTATTTATGCCGACCTATTCATTCATGTGTCAATTTAGTTTCCTTACGTTGCCATTACGATGTCGTATTGCTGATCATAATCATAACGATGATTACGTTGTCATTGCTGTTATTGTTGCTACACACACACACCATCATATAAATATGTATGTAGATGTGTTTGTGTGCTGAGGGGGTGTATGCGGTGCCGACAGCGGGTAGTTGAATTGCTGAGTAGGGAACGAAACGAGGACAAATGGAATTTTTAAATTTCTGTATAAATACATAATTGAAATTTTGAAAGCCAACCAAGTAACGAGACCACGACCAAATGTCGATGGAAACGTTAAAGTTGAAGTCAAAATTGTTTGTCTAAAGCGGGCGAGCCAAGTTGTCGTATAACGCACACACACATTAGCAGACTCATACTACCGAGCATAGTCGCAGAAGAAAACGGAATATGGAATATGGAATAAAGCAGCAACAATGAAATATTGTATTATACGAGCAAATAGTAATTGTGTGTACCACATAGTTGAATAGTTAGTTAGCTAGAGCTAGAGCTAGAGCTCACCACATATACTCACAAACATACATATTTACATACAGGCGTACATGCATAGCTGCCCGGGCCCGTGCGACTTGACTTCTCATACCCGTTCCAATCTATGAATTAAGTATTTGTAAAATTTTCATTACTTCACCACCGTCCCTCGTCATCGTGCACTGAAGATATAATGTTTCTACGAATATATATGTACGTATATAGGTATGTGTGCAATTAGGTTCCATCCAGCAGTGCTTAAAATACATATTTCTACTATTTGTTGTTTACGTCTTGCCGCTCCACTTTGCTCTCTCTCTGCGTCGCCCAGCCGCGCTCTGGCTTGTTTCTTTGTAATTCTTATTATTATAATGTTGATTTTTGTGTTTTTTTTTCTTCTACGAATATTATATTTCTTGTTCGTATTTTATTTTCTTTTCCATTTGCCTTTTATAATAGTGGTGTATATATGCTGGTTATTACCGCTGTTGTTGTTCTTGTTGTTGTTGTAGACGTTTCAAAGTATTGTTTGTGTTGTGTTTGTTTTTGTATATTCACGTATATTTATTAAAAAGTTTTCATGTTCTCTACTTTTCCAGTTTTAGAGTCAGAGTCAGAGTCGGCCGGTACGTTGATTGGTTTGGTTCGTTGCGTTTTCGGAATGGTTTGATTATTGGATTGAATTGACTTGGATGGGATTGACTTCAACCGAATTGGCAGTTGATCAAATCGGATCTGATCGCAGTGGATTGCACATTCTAAAATATACCAACATACTTACATATAAATATATTTAGATACAAAAAAACATACAGTTGAAAAGTGCGTGAGCCATCGTTTGTGGGCGAAGTGTTTGCAGCCGAAAAGATATTGCCCATTTGTGTTTGTAGATATGTGTAAAGTGTATAAATAACGTGAAAAACGACGAAAGAACATTTGTGCGTGCCCTTGTGTGCGTCTGCACGCAAATATATTTGGTGTAAATCACCTGAAGTGTAATTGAACATTTGAACATCGACGGCTTATCAAACGCACAGCGCACACGCACATATGCAAACATATTTACGCAACGCACGCGCATACATACAAACACACAAGCGGATAGAGGTGGAGACACACACGCGCCCATCCACCCACCAGCCAGTTTGATAAACGAAGATTTGTGACGTCGTCGGCAGCGCTGTCGTGATTCGTGAATGTGGCACTGCGGATAGCGCTCACAAGCAAACACACACACACACACACACACTCAGGCGCGCTCATGCAAGCAGCTCAACCGCACACGCACAAGTGCTAATGCTCACTGAAATTTCTTGGCATTTCTGCGAGAGCAAACTCAGTCGCGCGTGCATATGTATTTTGCGAATTCTCCCAGCCTCTTTGAGTCAGTCAGCGAGTGAGTCGTCGACTCTTTGCAATTAGAAGAAGCGTCAAGTAGACACGAAGAAGTGTGGCCGCAAGCAGCAGCCACAAGCGAGCTTCGTTCGTACCTTGCCCACTTATAGTGTGTGTATAGATTTGCAACAGGGCAAACGAGCAAACGAGCAACAGTGCGAAGTTGCGTCTCCAGTTGCAGCTGCCATCGTCGGTCGTTTGTTCTCCGCGTTCTCGTTGTGTTGCTGTGACTTTGCGACACTTTGTGCGTGTGCTTTGTTGTTCTTTGTTGTCATCTCGTACGCCGTACGAAGCCGGCGGGGCGCAACGTGTAAACTGGCGCAAATGCCGCTGCGGTCGTCGCCGCTGCCTGCTGCAAAATGGAAACGAACAATGTGCAACTTTGCCGCATCTGCATCTCAACGAATGTGGGCTGCACGCAAATGATTTCGATATTTGGCGAAGATTCGCTGTGGCAGAAAATCACCACATTGGCCGATGTTAAGGTATTTCAAATGTAGACATTTTAATTAATTGCCACAGGCAGACATATTTATATAAAATATTTGTGTGTATGAATATCAAGTAAAGTAATTTTGTGTACTTGTATACATATGTATATGTATGTRTGAATGCATATGTATATCGTCACCTAACATGCGGTAAAGCGTATCATCAAAAACATGGAAATTGTGTTATTTATTGATTACGATTCATTACACCTTATTACAGAAATTATTTATAGAAAATTGAAAACTTCCACTATGATATACCTATAACCACTTTATAACCAAAATTCAAACCTTTTTTTCAATGTCAACAGTTTCCTTCTCCTCTAAAGTTGTAAAAGTGATGTTACGTTATTTTGTATTTTAGGTGACTATGTGTATATACATACATACATATGCACATTTTTTTAATTAAGTGGATATTATAATACCTATGTGTAGTATATTATGTTTGTTGGTATGATTCAAGTCGCTACAAATTTCATTATGACATTAATTTTTCTTATAAATCCTTCTTTAAGCACACAAGCTTTATTATATAAATTCTATTAATGTAATAAAATGAGGTAGTGAATGGCAGATTTATGGGTATGAAATATCCGAAAAATTTGGTACTTCTGATTTGCTGGCAAATACTTAGTATAAATACGTAACCGGAACGGAGCGGGATTTGTACCAGGATAAGGCTTGTCCATTCGAAAAACATTTCAAAATTATTAGGAGAAGTTTTTATAAGATTACAACAGAAATTACAACAATGTTTAAAATTTTCAGCATTTCCGTTCCGAATCTACGTTTTTAAGGGGATGCACCCGCGTTGGCAAGATAACACCTTACATAATTATGTAAAGTGAAAAATACGCCTTTTAGTTAAAACTTAACTTAGAACTTTAACGAAGGAAAAAAATTAAAATTGGACTTTTGGCAGACATTTTTACAAAAAAATTAAATGAATTGCCAACCGACTTCAAAAACACAGTTTCGAGAAAAACGCGTTTAAGAACGGCGCACTTAGCCAAGCTAGCCTCGAGCATACAAGTTCTCAAGGCTGTATCTCCGAAATTGTTACACGGATCAACTTGAAAATTTAGGAAAATATTCTAGAGGTAGACCCATGTAACCCCTTAAATACTGTAACGAGCTTCAGCAGTATTGGACAATTTTTAAATCGGCACGATACTCAGCATATGAAGAAGGTCTAAGATAGTATAAAAAGTAAAAAAAAAATGATTTACTTTAAAGCTTTTTGTTCCTATGTTTGTTCTAAAAACCTATTAAAGCTCAACAACTTACTTTTTCCTCAAGAAAAATTGATAATTTTAACCCATTTGAGTTGTATGTATTAAGTGTCTTGAAGGATGAAATTTCCTACAGAGGTTGCTAGCTATACAACTATCAGCCAGGTGGTAAAATAAATACCTACATGTGTTTGACATTTATTTTTAGTATACTGTGGCCTTATTAGGAAGTTATATAAAACCGCTGAAAGAAGTGATGCGAAAATCGTTTGACAGCATATGGTAGTTTTCTTGAGACGCATTCTCGGCGATCCAAATTCCATTTAAACGATAGATACCATAACCTATTTATGGCCTAAACAAAACATTAAATACTTTAAACTTCATAACATAACCTTAATATCCGACAATACTGTCACCGTTTTGGTTTTTCCCACATTTACTATATTTAAGGTTTAACAGCAAAAAAAGGACTTTATCTTCTACAAGTTTTTATGCCCTGAATAGGCTATATTAAGTTTGCCACTCAGAAGGGAACGTTGGAACCCTATTGTTGTATTATATATATGTATAAATCTATACAAATGTGTCGAGCTGAGTCGATTTAACCTTGTCCGTCTGTCCTTCTTATTATGAAGCACTCATATAATAATATGATTCCATTTATATAATAGTACAATAGGTCGCCTTATATGTATGTATTTACTTATGGACACACATTCCTCAAAGTATTTAATATTTTCCGCATTATTATACGAGTATCTACATTTACTTATATTCATAAAAACATATGTACATACGAAGATAAATATCTTTTGTTGCATAGACACTAACTCGAAATATGCTCCAATAAATCAAGTTTGTGTTCGAACATTAAAAGTTGGGAAGTTTTATTGTACAAATACGTAACGTAACGCATGCACTTAATTATATACATATGTGTGTATACAAATACAAACGTCCATACATATATTTGTGTGTATGAATGGCATTTTTATAACTTCAAGTTTCTCTGCGCCGATTTTTATTTTCTTTTATTTGTTTAAGAAACGTTCATATAACTGTTTATTGTACACAATACATAATTCAGCCCAGTACTTGGCCGCTTTAGCTTTTCGCCTTACAAATGTATGTACTTATGTATAATTAAATGTTTACCTAAAAAATTTCTAAATAATTCACCGTACGTTACTTTATTTATGAAACTTAATTTATGTGCACACAAACAGTTAAGAACAAAATAATAGTGCCACTTTTTGGAAATGTAAATTTAATTGAATTCTTTGGGATATTTTAATGGGAATCGTTGGGTGCTTTTGGAAAATTATTAAATTTCTGAGTTTCGTAAACTTTACGCATATTTAGGAACTTTCAACACAAAATATGAAACAAAAAATGAAACAAATTTTCAATACAAAAATTTTGGAAATTTTATTTTTTAATTGAATGAAGTACGCAAACATGAAAAATTTATATTTTTTTGTCATTTTTTTTATTATA